GAACGTTAATGGAAATTTCATTGTGGGTCCTTGAGAAGTCAAGGAATGGTTTTGAAATGCTGTGGAAATCATAACTTAAAGGCGCTGTATGTAAGAATGTGGCCAAAACAGTTACTGCACTCAAATTCAAAATACTGCCGCGAGTCGTGTCCGCCCCCCCTCCCCTACAGATTCGAGGTTGCTGAACAGCGGCACGCTGGAGACTGATTTGTTTACCCTCAGTCGTAACTGTAACTGATGCTGAGACTCAACTGACTGCCTGACTGGTAGACGGCGGTGGGTGGCGCAACAGGCCAAAACACAAATTCAAAACATAAACATGATTTGCGGACCGTAAATTTTTTTTTAAAATGCGAATACTCTGGCTGTACTATTGTTGTCGGTGAGATCAGTATGTTATATGAACATTATTCCTTAGTCTCTGTGACATATTAGGAGGATTTTACGACTATTTGCCTTAGATTTCTTACATATAGCTCCTTTAAGTAAAAGTAGCAATGCAGCAGCGTAGAGATACTCTGATACTCTAGTAAAAGGCACATGTTCAAAATGTTACTTTCAGGGTCCCCACAGTCATGGAAAACCTGGAAAAGTCTTGGAATTTCACAATCACATTTTCCAGGCCTTAAAAAAGTCATAGAATCATGGAATTTCGATGTGTTTAATGAAATTGTTACAGTAATCTCCCATGGATTACCTTCCACGTATTGTAACAGAAGGGCAAATGAATTTTTTTGAGCTGACGATGTAATGTGGCTCTAATATGCGACATGTGTGTGACAAGGTTTTGTTTTCCATCATGTACGTTTTTTCATTTTGTCTCTACTTGCTGTCCATCCCTTTGTATATGTCCACCAACCAGGCAAGTGGGTCAAGAAAAAAAAAAAAATATTATGGTCCTTGAGAAGTCATGGAAAAGTTTCTAAAATGTGTGGGAACTCTGTACTTTATTAAAAGTATCAGCATCAAAATATACCTTACATACAAAAAGTGCAAGTACTTATTATGCAGCATTGCCAATTTACATATGATTAGGTTACAGTTAATTGATGTATTAATGTAAATATTAAACGTTGCACCTGGTAAAAGTTGGGTTTATTTTTTACTATATATACTTTCAGGTAGCTTGTGAATTTCACCAAGGGATCAATAGTTTTATCTTAATCTATAATAATACATAGGATTTATTTAACTAGATTATGCAGTATAAATCTGAATTAGTAAAGTAACTAAAGGTGTTAAATAAATCTAGTGGAGTAAAAAATACAATATCTGCCTCTGAAATGTTGTGAAGTAGATAAAAAAAATACTTGAGCACAAGCACGTCAAAGTTGTACTTCATTACAGTACTTTAATAAATGTAAATATGTGGTCATATATAATAAACCTGAAGGTAACCAACTTAACAGGAGTCAAATTTTAAGTATCAAAGACACCAAACAAACATTGTCAAAAATTGATCAGAGCCAAAGAAAAAACAGCTGACTGGTTTCTTTGAAGAATTTATTATGAAGTTGTCAGTTTTTTTCAAGACATTATGAACAAAATATTTACAATACAATCAAGTTTCAATGAAGAGTTTAAACATATTCATTTCTAAATGATTTACTGAACCACTGACTGCTTCTTGATCGATTTCAGTCATTTTTTATTTGGGGTTATTTTGTAGGGAAAATATAGATCATGTCTTGTTTGTAAAATACAAGTAAGCTGTTAACATATTACTTAAATAACGGTTTACTCTGCAATATGTTGGTTGTTGCTCCATCAGAGTCGAGAATAGGGTTTGTTGGATTTATGCCACATTAAAGCTTTGTTAATTTGATCTCAAATAGATGTTGAGGTGCAAATATTCCTCCAGGTTAGGCTTAATAAGTTAGATACTGAAGTACATTTTTTCCTGTCAAATAAACTGTATTTTTATCCTAAATTACATTTAGAGTTATGTACAGTACCACTCAACAAATTCCTGTACACATATTACACTTAAAAATGTACCTGATTTTATTTCGTCATACTCAGCGTGAACGCTTTGGCACCTGTAGACTGGTTTCCATTACAAAACCAGTAGAGAAGGGAAAGCTCCGGGCCCTCACCACCAGCTGGGCATTGCAGTGGTCTCCATGACTGCACAGAGCAGCTCACCTCTCGATGAACCCCCAGTCCGGGTTTGGTGGTGGGGAGCATGCCCTACCAAAAACAAAAACACAAAAATTCTGTCGAGCATACCCCTGCACCAGTGAACTGTGCAGCGACCACACCATGCCCCGCTCCCCTTTGGCCCCCCCTCCCAGACCCCATGCCCCCGGTTAACAAGCCAGCCAGCACGTTCCCTGTTGTCACTTGTTACCCGCTGTCCTCCTGATACGGCTCACGGGCGGGGCCAATTAAACTCGCACTGTTCCCCACACCGGGTCAGGAGTTTAGTGGGTCATCATCACTGTGATTTTCACCCAGAGTTATCTAATCCTGGTTCAATTGCTCTGACTGGACAGAACCAGACCAGGCGGTCTTAATAAAGTAGCTTTTAATGAGATTAATACATTTATTCATGTAGTGGTGGTGAAAGAAAATAGTCAAACAACAAATACCACTATTTTTACTTCTTCTACCACTTACAGTACCTACTAGAACAATATGTGTAGTATCACTGCTACTACTAACTCTGCTGCTAGTAAAAATTGTACTAGTAGTGGTAGTAATAATTGTAGTTGTGGGTGTATTGTTGTAGTAGTAGTGAGTGTTGTCATACAGTAGTAGTAGAAGTCCTAGCGCTAGTGGTAATGGGTGTAGTAGTAGTTGTGGGTGTTGTTATACAGTGGTAGTCCTTGAATATTGTTTGACTAAAAATTTTTGGTCTCTCTTGAAAAGTGGATCTCAGTCTTTAGGAGACTGCCTGATTACATGTAGAATTTAAGTAAAGATGTATATAGGCCTTATATGTGTGTATATCAGAGGCATCAGCTGTGATCATGAAGGTGAATTCTCACCAGCTCTGTTGTTGCTGCCCTGTCTGTGACCCTGACCTTTCACCTTGAACAAAATCTCCTGCTCAAGGAAATAACACAGCCATGTCCCAGTGTTGGTTTCCATTAAATAACTCAGTCTTTTCCAGTTTATTCCTGTAACGAGTCACTGGGGCTGTATTAGTCCTCTGGAAGCTTCATAAGTCTGAACTCTTACAATGTTATAAAAAAACATGGAAGTCAGAGTGAGTAGAAAAAAAACAACTGTAGTCAGAAGAAAGAAACTGGCATCCGTACGTTATGTGGAGGCTGTTGTATGAACTGAGAATAAATGACAATATGGTGAAAGACAGTGGTAATAATATGAAATATATCTTCATAAGAGAAGTGACAATTGTTGATAAATACTGCACATTAAATAACACTTAAATGTGCTTACACCTGCCTAATGGTGTGTTATAAACATTGCCTAAAAAAGTCCACTATAAATTCAATTCAATTCAATTTTATTTATAAAGCCCAATATCACAAATCACAATTTGCCTCACAGGGCTTTACAGCATACGACATCCCTCTGTCCTTAAGACCCTCACAGCGGATAAGGAAAAACTCCCCAAAAAAAAAACCCCTTTAACGGGGTCCACACTATGTCCACACTATGTTTTCGGTGTCTCCATGTAACATTCATCATCACGGATAAGAGAGCTAATAGATATAATCGTAGCTTGTCTATAATACTACATGTTAAAGGGGCTCAATGTGAAGAGCATTCAGAGCATCTGAGTTGTCTGCACACGGTTCTCAGCGTGGAGGTGGCTGAGCTGACAGCGAGCAGCTAACGGTGCTAATCCCATAAACGGCGGTAAACCATGATGTCGTCCCAATATTAGCTGTAACCATCATATGAGCGCAGTGTAATGGGGCAGCAAAAGGCTAGCCAGTTAGCTGACAGCTGAAGAATGATATGATAACAATGCATGTTTTTTTTAAAATATATTAAACTACCAGATGGTATATAAAACAATTCAAACCAGCTCTCAAACTACAATAAAACCAACAGTAAAATGGTAATTGCACATGAATGCATCTGTAATAATAATAATACAATATAACCATATGTAATAAGAAAGAGCTTGGTGTATATATGCATATGTGTACATGGATGGGAGCTAAGTTATAGATTCTTTAAGGGTCATTAATATAATTATTAATATTATATTTCCATTTCAAATAATGCTTTTCTATGCTGCCCAGCAGAGAGAAGGATACCCGTTTATATGCTGCCACCCAAGCAGGCAGGTTGTACCACTCTGTGATTGAAGGTGCATGAGCTGATTTCCATTGTTGAACAAGCAGTCTCCCTCCCAGCATAATATTGGTGTGGACCCAGTCAATATAGATACAGGGAATTGTATGTGCACTCCATATATAATTGTAAACACCCACATGGGTTATTTTTCAGCATGATGTGCACTTTTGATATTCAAAGTATCCTACATTGTGCTGATAATAATTGTACTTAAATAACATTATAAATGCAGGACTTTTACTTTTTAATTCCAGTCTGGTATCAATACTTTTACTCAAGTAAATGATCTGAATACTTTTTCTACACATGATGAGTTTTATTGATGCTGATTGGCTGCTGACCTTCCTTTGTCTGCTGAGAACCCCAAAGCATGAATCTGTGATATTACAGGGACCTCTAGTGGCTGTTGTCAGTAATTACAGTACATGTAATTTACTCATGACCAGATGGCAGCTGCTACATGCGGTGATGAGACTTTTGATAAACCAGCGTGCACAGATTAACCATCTATTTTTAGAAAGGGTCGTCTTTCATACAATTTTTCAGATTTTATTTTACTTTTTAAAGTTTTGTATAGGTTTGTGCACAAAACAGTATAAAGCTGTAAATAATGTAGGAAACAGCATTATAAAGACACTTCCCTTCTTTAGGTGTGTACATGTCTCTGGTAGAAAAACAGGCCTACAGAAGGAACTTTGCTCAAGGCTCCATACACGCAGCACCATTAGTGCCATGTTTTGTTACATGTTAAAAGCATGTAATTCCAGTGTGGAGGCGCTTCGTAAATTGCACTGTATTTTTAGCCTATTTGCCACAAGCAGGCGGAGCTAAGGAGGCTGAGATGGAGGGATGCTGCTGAATAGCAGGTGGAGACCGCGGATGTTTACGGGATGCACTTTACTGAGGGAGGATCAGAGGAGGCTGGATAGATTTTTCTCGACTTGAAAAGTCCGTTGCACTTTGTGGACGATTTTATATGTATTTTTAATCTGTGAGGGCTGAGATCGACTCCACGCTGCTCAGCAGACCGGCAGGGACTAGCTGTGAAAGGCTCCGTCTGTCTGTCGTGTCCTGGAGGTTGCGACGATGTGAAGCTCCATCGTCGGGTCGACGGCCGCAGCCTTTTCCCTGAAGCTTGATATTATGCAGGGAACAAGGGGCACTGGAAGGATTAAAGGGGAACAAAGCACCGGTTTAGAAAACGTTTTACAAACTGGCAGGTAAGAGGGTGTTAATGTGGTGCGCCACCGCATGAATACAACCATTTAACGGGATGAAAAAGCTGAAATATAGTAAATATTGTCTTTGTAACACAACAGCAAACAGATGCTAAACATCCCTAACACGATCTGTATTTAGGATTTGACTCTGAGCCGTTTGTAAAGTGAATGTGTACCTTCTGTGCTGCTGGTACAGAAAAGTCTAGGCCTGTACTGATTGTAAGGTGTGAGACCATGATTGTGAGCTGTGTCCAGTGCTTGTTTACCAGACAGAATCTCTTGTTTTAAACCAAATTGGTTAATAATATATATGTTGCAGGACCTGGTTTGATTCCAAAGATATTTTTAGGTTGATTGTGTGAAGTGGAGTGAAAAATATTGCTATGAGTAATCAAATTTTCCCAGCCTAGTAACTCTGCCAAAAATAGACTCTCTATTAAAGGACTCTGGTGTTTTTTCGTGTGTTATGTCACTTCCCTGAAGGGGAAATGTCTCATCTGGTGTAAAAATCAGTGCATGAATATGTGCTCATGCATGCATGCATCTCTGAACCTGCGTTATGACCCTCCCCCACAGACTGCATCTCTCTTAAGCTCTGTACTGAATTCTATAATCCTCTAATTGAAACCTCTTCCCACTGTTTTATCCACTTCCTCTTTCATATCATATAACCCCCCCCCTCCCTGTGTCGACCCCTGCCCCCCCTCCCTCTTCTCTGCCTGCAGTATTAGCCAACTATGGTCGACCCCTCGGAGGCTGAGGAGCAGAGCAAGTGTAAAGGTCCACAACTCGACACGCCAGCTGTGGCCACTGAAGACCCTCGACTGCCAGAACAGGCCGATGGCACGACAACAGAGGAGGACGGGGATGCCGGTTTCGAGACGCCCCCCACTGGCAGTTCTGAGCCGAGTCCCTGCCACACTGCAACCCCGGGCCCAGACACCGCCTCTCAGGGGGTCCCACCTGAGCAACCACAGACTCAGACTGATACGTCGCCAAAATTGCACCTGGACCTGTACAACTTTGACTCACCAGCTGCAGAGGGCAGCCGCTACGTGTTAACAAGCCCTCACTCTCTGGAGGCGTGTGCTCGATGTGGGGTCAAACCAGTGGAACTCCTGCCCCGCCCGCTGGCTGACTTTGCCCGGGAGGCTCCTGGTCGCTCCATGCGTGTTGCGACAGGCCTGTTTGAAGTCTACGAGAGGGACAGACACGCGAAACTGAGACAGTGCAGGGAGGAGAGAGAGAGGATAGTCAGAGAGGAGAAAAGGAGGATTCTGCAGGCGACAGTCAATACCAGCAGCAGTGCGTCAGCCTCCTCTGTGGAGCAGCAGCACAAAGCGTCCCCTGGCTCCGCTCAGCCTCCTAAATCTGGGCCGGTGACCTCCAGCTCAGCCCCTGATTTTGGAGCATCTTCTAGAGCTGCAGCATCAGGTCCGACCTCTAAAACAGGTACATCTATTTTATCTAAAGCTCCGACCACGAGCACCTCCCCTAAAACTGCCCATGCAGCATCTACTCCGTCCTCAAGAACTGGTTCTACAACATCTACACCGTCTCCCAGGGGTGGTTTCCAAGGAAAGCATCTTCTGTCCTCTTCATCTGAACAAGTGAAAACTACACGGCCGCTCTCCTCTGGCCCTCCACCAGTAATCAGGAAGTCATCAGGCGGTAAATCCTCAAACACTTTCCCCAGATCGACACCCAAACCCCCCGCCTTCCCCAGAGCCAACTCCACATTAACATCATCAGTGACAAAGCCTGCAGTTCAGAGCCCCGGGACGCCTCTGAACGGCGTAACAGGAACACCATTCTCTCAGCACAATGGACATCTTGGCTTTCACTCCAAGGTGCGAGGAAAAAGCCATTCATTGGAGTCCTTACAGCGGAGGATGGATCCGGTCTGCTCTTCCACCTCCACCACCACGACTACTACTACATGCACCTCATCAGAGTCAGGTGCTTCATCTTCTTACAGCTGGGACGGTCCGCGAGATCACTGGGCTAAAGTCTCCAGTCCTCGAGCTCGCACTATGGCCACTTTCAACTCCCTGATGGGCCGCAGCCTCAGCCTCGGCGACCTGAGCCACTCTATTCAGACAACACAGAAGGTGGAGCGCATAGTGAAGGAGGTGAAGCGTCGAGGCCTGAAGGCTGTGTCTGAGCGCGACCGCAAGATTGCAGCTCTGATGCTTGCCAGATACCAGGAGGAAGACATCATGAGTCAGACCCGTTACGTGGCTCACCTTCAGTGGGATAGTGAACGCAGAATGGAGGAGCTACGCCGAGAGCAGGAGGAGAGAGAGAAGCAGCGTGCCGTGCTTCAGTGCCAGCGGGTGTGGCAGACCCAGGTATCGATTCGCCAGCGTAGACTCAGCCAGCAGGAGCGACAGTCAGCAGCTGCCAAAATGAGACAGGCTGAGGAGAGTGAGGAGCGATGGAGGGAGCTCGCAGAGCAGCAGGAACGCAACCGTCTGCTGAGGTTACAGCAGGCAGCACGAGAGGAGAAACATAAGAAAGCTCTGCAGGAGCAGAACCTGAAGGCCCTGGAGGAGGAGAGGGCAGCCATGCTGGAGCAGGAGAGGCTGCTGCTGAAAGAGAAGCTCACTATGGCTGAGCTGAAGAGGCAAGAGAGGGAGCATCAGGCCCAGGAAGATAGACGAGGTCTGAACAAAGCAGAGAAGAGACGTCACGCCGCCCTCATACAGGAGATCGCCCGCAGAGAGCAGGAGGAGAGGGAGGAGGCCAGGAGGGCAGCAGAGGAGAAGCTCAGCCGTTCTCTGGAGAATTATGAACAGATTGTTGAGCGTCGAGGGCAAGAGCTGAAAGAAAAGGCCAAGCGTGAGGAGCAGCAGATCCTGAAAGCACGCAAGGCAGCAGAGAAGCGTGAGAGACAGCAGCAGCAACTTCTAGAAGCTCGTGTGAAGGAGGCGGAAAAACGAGCCCAGCAGGCAGCTGTAGTGGCCGAGGAGAGGGCCAAAGAAAAAGCTCAGCGGGCCGTCCAGAGCCGACTGGAGAAGGAGAAACTCCAAAAGCTCAACAGGCAGCGAGTTGAGGAGGAGGAGAGGCAGAGGCGTCTGGAGCTGCTGCAGTCCATTGAAAGGAAGCTGGAGAAGAGCGAACAGATCTTTAAAGAGAAGAGGGCAGTGCTGGAGAGCGCTCGCTCTGTGGCCCGAGCCTCCTTTCATGTACGAGACAAAGTGCGAGAGGAGACCAACATGCGTACGTTTGATAAAATGGCTCTTGAAGCTCAACTCAAAGCCAGTCTAGATGAGAAATAAACTCCTGGTTTTGTTGTGGACCCCTCACTTCTGGTCATGTGCTCGGCTCTCGCCTTCATTATGGCCCTCATCACTCAACAGCTTTTTCCTATTAAAACCCAGCGTGTTATTTTTCCTTACATATCATAACCATCAGCTGGTTTGATTAGATTTTTGACCATCTGTTTTTTCATTATAGATCCTATCAAAGTAAACCAAATCATTTTTTATCATGGATGCAACGAGACTATGAACTTTATCAGCTGTTATAGTTTAACAGTAAAGCCTGTGTGGGACGTACAGTGGACTTCATATTAGATGAGAGTTTGGAGCAACACAGCCCCTCCTCTTCTCCCGGCCTCTTTGCCCTCTGTTCCTTACATCTCAGCTACTGGACTGAAAGCTGTGCGGGAATGAAAAGAGTCATTGTTTACCAGGAAGCACAACTCCATGACAACTGCAGAGGCTTTTAAAGGAGCACTCCTGTGAGGGAAAATTAAGCGCAAATGGTTCTAGACCCCCAAAGCAACCGAGGGATCCTTTTGTCCACGCACTGTGACACAGCTACATATAGCATGGAAATAAAGCCCTGGGCTGGGCACTTGTCTGTACCTAACCGCTGACAATGCAGCACAGGAGGGCCGTGTGCACGAGCCTCGTGCTGATGAAGCATCGGAGGACGCAGATTCCTGCAGCAAGGGCTGTTCTTTCCTCCCTCTTCCTCCCCTCAAGGACTCCCTCTGTCTCTCCTCTTCATGTCAGATCACAGTAAACAGTGAAGCACTCTGAGAGACAGCCACCTCTTGACTTCCCGTCAAGGTCAACAGGTATGAGTTTTTATGGCTCTCACGGATTATGCAATGCTTTCTGTTTTGCCACATGCTGTTGCCTTTCAGCCCTTGCAATTAAAAACAAACAAACAACAACCCTTGATCACACTGACCCTGGCTTGACAGTGCAGAGAGAAAAAAAAAATGCATCTACTCATGAGCCGACATGCAAGCCAACAACAAGCTTTAAAGGCCTCTGGCTGCGCTAATCCTTCAATCTCTCAGATTAAAAGAAAAGGGAGATACACATGGGTTTCAGCCCTCAGATGTAGGCGTTGCCATAGCGATAGATATCAGGATGGAGCAGCGAGAGTGAATGACTGAGCAGGGAGAGTGCGTGGGAAAGTGAGGGGGCTGCCTGTGGGGAGCTACCTCTCTGCTGGCTCGGCTCATTCTGGTCGATTCTTTGGAAAAACATGCCATCACTTTGTCATATTAACATCTGTGTTAGGCCGGGGAATTACTGCAGCATTCCTCCTCCTCATTCACTCAGGGAGAAATCCTTTAAAACCTTCACCTACACAGTCTGTCAGTTCCTGTAGCACATCTGTGACCAGGAAGTAGACTGGACCGAGCATTTCAGACAGCCCCAAACCTACTAATGTCCCTAACTACTGAGATAAAAGCCTGACTGAATTTGAAATGCAGCATTAGACCAGTAGAGGACTGACAGGCTTACGGCCCCGACTGAGCCACGCTGTTCCCACCAGATAATCACACGGAGGTGATGTAAGACATGTGAGACATCTCCTACCAAGTTGTTTATTACCTTTTCCCCCATGTTTTTGAAATAAATCGCACCAATTTGCTCAGTGATATCAAAGCGTTCATTAGTAACACATCAGTAGAACAGAGAAGTGAGAGGAAAAGATAACCTGCAGACTTTTAGATGAATTAATGACAGAAAATCTGATTTTAACTTCCTGTCTTCCTGCGTGAATTTTACAGCTACTAAACAACTACATCAAAGACATGTTAAGAGTGGCATTTGATATCTTTGTGTATCAGAGCTGGGTTCAAAATACTTAGTAGTACAGTAGTAGTACAGTTCGAAGAAAGAAATTCAACATTTTAAATTAGTGAAGCTCATGTATATGTCGGTAGTTTTGACGCATTGGTTTCTGATTCTTAAGATTTGAGAAAATATGGCAGACCCTTTTGAATGATGTTAAAATTAGTCTCTACATTCTAATAGATTAATAATATATATCATAATGATCATTGTTATCATTATAAAATAGATTATTTCTCTTCTCTCTTCTAAGTATATTATTTATCCAGTCAATAATTCTGGCTCAACCCGCACTTACTGTGTAATGTAGTTTAATTTTACATTTAGTAAATTGATTTTGCAGTAAACAACAAGAGGCCAGCTCATTCTCAAGTGGCTCGTTGCTTTTATATTGTCTTTATATGACACTTATCATCTGATCTTAAATCCTCAGAGTCATTAATTTTCATTTATGTATATATGTTTTATCTATTCAGTCAAATCTGACCAAACCGACAGTGCTGTTATTGGAACTCAACATATCCACAGGTACCTGGTAGCTACACATTCTTATACCCATAATAGTAATTTAGTGTCCACAGTGGTACAACTAAACACCACATTGTCACAGTTCAACAGATTTATTACAAACAAAAAAGCCTGCCCAAAACTGAAAGCTTTCAACCTAATTGTTGACCCTAGTGTGTTCACATGACACAGGCATAACCTCGGTGATTTAGGTACCGTCCTACCCAACCACCTCCCTATGTGATCCACAACTTCTTCCCAAAATAGGTTAACCAGTTTACATTCCCAGATTGCATGTAGAAATGTTCCTGTTTCTGACATTTCCAATATTAATTATTAATTAACTGCATAAATTATTAATTTATACTGAATACATTTTCCTTTTGCCTCCTTTATATATTTCCCAGTATTTGATAGAACCATATTTTTTAAGATCCATATCACAAGTGCAGTACAAACATGATACTAACTCATCTTTTTAGATTTTGGAGGCTCGTGATAATAATGTTTCTAAACACTAACTAAAATTGCAGCACTGAGCTGACAGTGTTGTTTCTGTATGGTCTTAAATGATTTCAAATACATACAGAACGTGCCAGTGGATAAAGTAACTCAGTACATTTACTCTGGTATGTACTTTACTTGAGTATTTAAATTTTCTGCTACTTTATACTTCACAAGTTAAGTTACCCAGAAGTGTATATATAGTGAAAAATAAGCCCAACCTTTACCAGCTGCAACAATAAATAATAATATACACATTAACGCATCAGCAGTTAGAATCCTTACTTTTTTGTACTTTAATATTTCATGCTAATACTTTCATACATTATCTCATGCTTTCATACACACAAACAAATGAGCAGTTATAGACGTCAATATATACGTTAATAAACATTTAAAACATCTTTGTATGTGCTGATATCTCCACACTAGTGTGTTATACAGGATCTACTAAGTGCTTTTAAACTACCCTTACTGCTTGATAGGGGGTTGTTAGAATAAAGTGTTTAAGAGTGTATGTGGCAGAAAAATTGAGAAGCAGAAATACCTGCTGTATTGAAGTAAATGGACTCCAACTGTTCTGTTTAATACTTACAGTAATCACACTCTTCTTTTATTTCCTGCAGGTCCTGTTGATGAATGAGAGCTGGTGATAATCTGCAATCCTTTTCTTCCCACACTGAACTTTGTCAAAGTGCAAAACCCAACAAGTCCCTCCTCTGATGGAAATGCATCCATATCAAGAGTTTTGTTTTTATTTTTCCATATTTTAAACTAGTAACGGTGCCATCTGTCGTGCTGCTGAGAACAGGAACCCAGATATGAACCTACAGCCTTTTACCTGCATAAATGAAGTGACTAGACAAGGTTCAAACACAGCTTTATTAGCATCAAGGCATGTTGTTCAGTCCATCATATGTTCCCTCTTACCTTAACCCGACATGTGGGCTTCTTTTCTGTGTCATTTCTGGTGTTAAGTTATCATTTGTATATTATCATAAAATGCTTGCGTCAGTGAATTGCATTGAGTTGCTTCGTCGAGGACAGATTTTTCAGATGCAGCAATAATGAAATGGTCAGTGGTCGACAACAGACGTCTGTGAGTTCATTGTTTTCATAAAACCTCTGTGAAAGTGAAGGACACAATCTGTGCATACAGTCAAAACCAGAACAATAAAAACAAACATTTTACAAGATGGATTTGCATTGTCTGTGCTATCTGCTAAATACTTGTTAATCTCATATAGTGGTATTTATTTTAGAGAATGGTGAAAACACTAGAAACTCAAAGTACAAGGCTACAGTCACACACTGCAGAGTGGTTGTTGTTAAATCATTATGATCTATGACATGTTAACTGTTACTGTGTTTCTTAGGCCCAATCCCATTTCATATTTCTACCCCTACCCCTTGTTTTCAAGAGCCACCTTGCCCCCTGGAACAGAGTTACAAGATGTAGTGGTTGAAAACTTTACAACCCTCCAAGACCCTCTAAAGGTATGCTTGCGTTCACATAAAGTGTTGCCAGGCATTGCTAATATGCCGTCTTCTGCAGTAGTGATTTCTCTTGCATGGGCTACAAGCAGTCTTTTGCAGTTGGAAGGATGCTTGCAGTTTGTTCACAACAAGCAGGGCTTTGAAGGCTAACTTAAGCAACTCACTCTCCTTCCCTGCCAGTCTGCACTGATAGAGGAGCGGTACCAAGTCGAGGAACAGAGGGGTAAGGGCTCTGCAGTAGGGGTCAGGGGTGTATTGGGATTGGGCCCAAATGTCAAGTAACATCACAACATCTTATCAGGCTGAGTCTAGAGTCCCAAATGGTCAACATTGAGTAGGACACTACTGTAGTACAATGGTATACCTGTTCTTAACATACTGTACATGTGGTTTTCACCTTACATCATAATCACTCTTTAGCTAATTCAGATCTGAAGGTTTCTTTTTGCACTTCTACCAAATGGCTCCAGGAAATAAACTCAGGTCTTCATCTTTTCCAGGGAGCTGAGGACCTTTTGAGGAACTCAGAAAGTTTACTTGCTGAGAAGGTATCACCTTTCTTTCTTTTTTGTAAAGAGCAAGGTAAAGATCAGCACTGTAGTTTCTTAATCATTTATTGTTCTAATTTGCTTATTCTTCAGGGGACTTTCAGTTCCTGAGTTCCTGGAACTGTTTGGGTGAAATGCTTTAACCAGTGAATCATGACAGACATCAGAGCTATAACACATAATAAGTTTACCCAATGTCTGTTAAACTTAGTACAGTTAAAAACTCTTAAGATTGCAACCAGAGATGCCATCCGACAGATTTCTGTGTACAGTCATCTACAGTATCTCAATGGCAGGTTTGGGATCAGGATCTCTACGTCACTCACTGTGTGGACTGTAAAGCTAAGGACCATTTCTCCTCTTTTACCCCGCTCTCTCTTCTCTCAGTCCTCTGTTTTGTTCGTGGCGTCCTTGCGAGCGATGATCTTGTACACACTCTCTCTGAAGCTGCTGTCAGAGGTCAGCCGTCGGGCCGTCTCCCGCAGCTCCTCTATGTCGCCACTGTCAGCATTTGCTACTGCAAAAGACTTTGAGTGCTTTACTGTGATGAAACAGAAGAAAAAAAAAATCAATCAAAAAAACATACTATACTATGGCGTTTTTTCCACTTTTTTTGACATACTATACTATGGCGGTTTTATCACTTTTTTTGACATACTATACTATGGCGGTTTTATCACTTTTTTGACATACTATGGTGTTTTTTCCACTTTTTTGACATACTATACTATGGCGTTTTTTTCCACTTTTTTGACATACTGTACTATGGCGGTTTTATCACTTTTTTTGACATACTATACTATGGCATATTTACCAGTTTTTTGGACATTCTATACTATGGCGTTTTTTCCACTTTTTTGACATACTATACTATGGCGGTTTTATCACTTTTTTTGACATACTATACTATGGCGGTTTTATCACTTTTTTGACATACTATGGTGTTTTTTCCACTTTTTTGACATACTATACTATGGCGTTTTTTTCCACTTTTTTGACATACTGTACTATGGCGGTTTTATCACTTTTTTTGACATACTATACTATGGC